CCATTTACATTCAATTTCAAAATAAAATTACATCAGTAACTATTTATCCAGACGTAGGATAAAATTATTATTTTGACGTGTCAAACAGTGGTTACGTTAGACCACGATTTTATAATCTTTATAAAACCGTGTCACTGTGTGTCACTGTCAGAATCAAAATCAGAAGTCGGAATGGTTAGGCGATGGGAATAGTGGTAGGGAACGCGAAAAGAGGGGAAATCGCCGTGAGGGTATTTTCATAGCAACCCTACCCGGGAGTCCCAGACATGTCGTACCACACAAAGCGTTGTTGCCATTTTGCACCATTTTGCTGGAATTAGAATGTACGAGAGTGATATCGTTGGCAGCCATGAGAGTAATGCCGTGATGCTACTCGGTTTGCATCATCAACGGGCATCGATCGGTTATTTTCATCAAGTTTTCAGTGAGTTTTTTTACCCATAACGCTGAGGTAAATATTTCCTGGTGGTCAGAGAGGCGAATCGGTTGCTTACATGAAGCGTCAAATCCCCTTCTGTCCTTCGGTCAACTGAAAGGAAAACATGACAACGGCACTGTACCTCGAGCATTATTTAGACAGTAAGTACGAGCATTCAACTTTTTTCGACCCCGCGCACCGCGGTTTTTTATCAAAATCGAATTTTTTTAACTATGACACAGCATCCAATTTTTTTTTAATTCTATACAGTTTTTCTGTATTTCCGCATTAGAGAATAAAATGCAGAGAAAAACTTTGTTTCGAAATTGGAATTTATTTTCGAATGACATTAGGTTTGGAGCATCTGCCCATTGAGCTGCAGAGAAACTTCACGTTGATGCGTGACCTTGATGCCAGGGCACAGGGATTGATGAAAGACATCGACAAACTAGCGGACGATTATTTGAAGAATGTGAAGAAAGAGTCGCCGGAGAAGAAGAAAGAACAGCTGACCCATATACAAAACCTGTTCAATAAGGCGAAGGAGTATGGCGACGACAAAGTTCAATTAGCAATACAAACATACGAATTAGTGGACAAGCATATTAGGAGACTAGACTCTGACCTGGCAAGGTTCGAAGCCGAGATACAGGACAAGGCACTGAACAGCAGCAGAGCACAGGAAGAAAGCAATGCGAGTAAAAAGGGTAGAAAGAAATTAAAAGAAAAAGAGAAGAGAAAGAAGGGTGCTGCTGGTGCTAGCAGTGAAGATGAGTCGAAAACAGCCAGGAAGAAGCAGAAGAAAGGTGAGATTACACATCACCTTCTTCATTTCCATTAAAAAAAAACTACAATTATTAATAATATATGTGTATTTATTTCAGGAGGGTCTGTTGCCTCTGCTTCGTCAGCTGGAGCTGTTGGAGGTGGTACACAAGTCGATTCTACAGCATTGGGACATCCAGCAGATGTCTTAGATATGCCAGTAGATCCTAACGAGCCGACTTACTGCCTGTGTCATCAAGTCTCTTACGGAGAAATGATTGGTTGTGATAACCCGGACGTAAGTCTTTACTATTATAATAGAAATCTAGCAACCCCCTTTGATGGTTATTTTATAAATATCCTGGTTTCTTGTTACAGTGTCCTATAGAGTGGTTCCATTTCGCGTGTGTCGGTTTGACTACGAAACCAAAAGGGAAATGGTACTGCCCGAAGTGCACGCAAGATAGGAAAAAGAAGTAAGTTTTAACAGACGTGAACTCTCCGGTGTATCACGGAACCGAAGGACTCGTACTTTACTTCTAAAATTAGGACGTAACTTTTCATGGTTTAACATGAAACGAATAATAGGAAATTTGTATAAAAGAAAGAAAGTACTATTGACTTGCATCGCATTTAACGTTGCTAGAAGAGAATCATTTTTTTTGTTTATCTAATGTATTTTCAATTGGACAATTTTCCATTCCACTTCCGTTCGCAATGTTAAATGCAATGAAGATGTATTAATAAGTTGATATACGGCTTGTCACAGAACGGATATTTTGAAAATCGGCCATCCGTCGTACTTCGCTTTCCTATTTTTCCTCCCTCGTTCTCTTTTTTTAGATGTACAAAGTAGTAATTTATTGAAAGTTTGACCGGTTTTCGAACGTCTGTGACTCACCCGATTGAAAAGGAAACGCTGTCTAATTACTCGAGTATTAAATTCTAATTATAGTATTAAATGGAAAATAAAAATTATTACTGTTTTTATATTTTATAAATACGAATCGACACTG